GTACGAGTACCGTAAATTTTCCATTTCGAGGCACTCATGTGCTGTGCGATTGGTTGTTTGGCGAGAAGTGTATGTTTGTATGACTAAGTTAACGACGGGGGGGGCAGGTTATCCTTATTGTTGTGTTACGAGGCGAAGCCCGGTACTACAGTACTCGACATGGTGCTACAGTACTTGTACTGTATGAAAGGAATTGGCACCTTAAGTTACTTATGGGATTAGACCTGGGCGGATTTGAATGTCGGTCATGAAGGGGGGGGGGTTTACAGGTAGTATGATTTTGAAGTGTTGGTGCGCATGTTAAAAGTACCGTAGGCACCGGTATCATAGTAAACTTGCGGTCGTTAAGTGCAGTGCCAGAGTGCACGACTCAAAGTGCATGGCATCCATGTGGCTCGAAGTCGGGGGACTCGGAGTCCTCGGTACAGTACCAGGTATGATATGATAGGTCAGTCTGCCGAACCTGCTCGGGCGCCTTGTCTGGGAAAACGGCCTTTACTCCAGCCACCGTGCCATACAAGTGAAGTAAACTGAGACATGACCGGTTACACACCAAGATGGGGGGGAGTTTTCGCACATTGATCTCAACCCCGAGTTCAGTTAGGTGAGATTTGATACAGGTACTACCGATATACTCGTAGACGCTGGTCCCGCTGCTCCCCCACATTACCTCTCCTCCTTGTATTGGGAACATACCAGTAGATAACATTTGAAATACCAGTTATTTCAAGTAGGGCCACGACTCAAAAAATTTCTCTCATTCCCACCACAACCAAATCAATACAACACAACCAAAAATTGCCTACTAACCACACCGTCGGAAGGGAATCTCGAATCCAGCGGTTATGGATGGGGCAAAGCCCTTCCAAAATTGATGTAGGTAATTCCCAGAGATGATCAAAGCTCCTTAACCACACAATGGCTTGGATTTTAAATATCCTTAGGCTGTCGATGATCATTCCAAATAAGTACCCCTGTCTATCTGGTGGAATTCTCTTGCCCCATCGTCCCCTCTGCCCATGAGGACCCTTGGTAGAGTACTGCACCTGTTGTGCAATACAACAGCCAGAACATGTTGCACTTTCTACACAAAAACGAGAGGTATTTTTTGGTACCTGTTGCAACCCGGAAGGTACCGATATGCTTTGAGTTAGTGGACAACTTGAAAAATGAATCAACCAGCAATTGGAGAGAATACAGCTGCCTGTTGTCGGTGTACAGTACTGTACTCTACTCGTACCCAGAACTTCGAACTCCGAACTCCCCCAATAACGCAAACCGGGAGTACAGTTCAAATTTGAGTGTTGTAAAAAAAAAAAGGGAGAAGCCTGTGTGCCGAGTATTTACCCTGCCGACACAGCATCATACGGCAAGAACCGTGGGACGGTTAGAGTGTTCAAACAAGAAAGCGGGAGAAGTGAAAAAAGAAAACCCCCCACAATTGCGTCAAAATCAGAGATCGGCGAGAGAGGAATTAGGTAGTCCAGGCCATCACATCAGGATATCGCGATTTTGTGACAAAAAAAAAATCTTACTTGAACGCACCAGCGCCCCGACGGTTCCTGCGAGATAATAGCGGCATGGGCCATGCCGTCTTTGAAAAAGTCCTGGAGGCATTATGGCGCTAGATGATGATGATCTTCCATGTCACCGAGGCTGGTTGGCTCTCCGGAGCTGTATAGTCACTTGTACGAGCTGGGTTGGAGGTACTCGAGTACATTTGTTGAAATCTCTCGGGTGTGCACAATAGAGTAAAGTACTCGTACAGTACTGTGCCTCTGGTCTGGGTTTTGTTGAGCCCTGGGGATACACAATCACCAGAATATTAGTCTCATTAAACCAGAAATTGATGATTTCAATAGTCCTGCTCGTTACGAGAGCTACTCGTAGTGATTACTCCCGATACCAAAACCTAGGAAATGCCAATTAACTATGATACCTACTACCAGACCCGCCGTAGTGCTCTAATTGCCAAGTATGTCATAAGCTATCATGCATATGCCAGTTATATATGCAAGCCTACCTATACCACTTTTTCTTTCTTCCATTCCCCTCCCATCACCAGTGAAAAGCTCAAGCCATCTTCAACAATTTACACGTACTGCGCATCCACCCGATAGAGATCCCGACTTTATTCCGCAGCAGGTACAGTACCCCAAACTCCACCACTCACCGTACGGTACAGTACAGCACGTTACATCTCCCAGTTCTTCACTTTCTCCACGTGTAAACTTGCCCTCAGCCCTTCTCCCCACCTTCCACCATCGCTACTGTACAAGTATCGCACCTCGGCCTGCCGGCTGTATAAAGTGCAATTCTCCCAAAATACACTCCCCCCCCCCCCGCACACCCAATACCGGTACTCACAGTAGTCTACAAGTAGTAGCGCGACCCAATCTACTCGCCCACGAACAAGTCGCTCCTCCTCCCAATACATCTACCTCCTAAAGCAGCGCGATGAAAACAATAATCGAGTGGCAGCGAGTGACAGAGCGTTTAGATTTGTAGATTCCAATTTCCAGCCGGCAGAGGTACGCTTACTGTAAAAGCACATCATCATCATACCATACGAGTACAACCGGTCGTACAAGATTCGCCAAAAGCTACAGGGGTAAGGAGAGAAAAAATGAAAGCTTTTCCTCGCTTGTTAGTTAGTTACCAGTGCAATGTGCATGCTACGGTAAATTGCACTCTTACGAGTACTCTGGTCAAGTTAACGTACTGTAACGTGGACAGTAATCATATCTTCTGCAGTGTGAAGAAGGTGATAAGGTGCGTTACTTGTTACTCGAGTGGATGCGTTTCTGTATTTGGGCACAGGTACTCGTGCACTGTACGGGTACAAGTAGTAGCTGTGGGTCCTGTCGGTAACTTACTCGGGTATCGCACGCGGAGGAGAAGCCACGGCGCAATTGTGGAGCACTGGAGCACCGCACTGCGCCAGCAGGGGGAAGAGAAAGTCCTGGGAGCGGGGGTTTCCGCAGGGGGGTGGAAAGTCTCTTGAGAAGTCGGATAGTACTCGAGTACCGATATGTGTAAAGTGGTGCAATGGAAAGTGCAAGTTGTTAAAATCATTCAAATTCTCCGATTCTCACCATTTCGCAATTGCTCCGATCGGTGATTGCGCTAGGTTATATCATCATCATTTCCCCCCGTGGCCCTTAGCAATTCCATGAGAATAGCCCTAGGAAACCTCATCAGAAAGGTCGGACATCCCGTCGGACCGAGATGTCTCTCTGTACACTTGCCCAAATAGCTACAATACTTTTCTCAGTTCGTGTCGTGTTGGGTTTTCGTATGATACCTACTTTCATGTTGTGCACGGCACAGAGTTGTCTCGCTATGAGTACTTGTACTCGAGTAAAGAAACTCGCAGACTACGGTACCCGCCACGCGAACCCCTTCCCCCACCCCCTGCTCAAGCCCCCCTTGGCTCCTTCTACTTGTACAGTACGAGTACCTTACCGCACCCATCCCTACCCGCAACTACCAGTATCCCGCATGGTGAATGTAACATTGACAAAAAGGACGAAATGTTGGCAATGAGGCATTATTCACTGTCATACTTATTATAACCTTACAGTGCCTTCCATTTTCCTCCACTTTCTATAACCATCCTCCCGCACGAAATACTGTACCGTACTAGCAAAAACTTTTACTCTAAATTTGGTTTGTCGGCGCTCGAGATATATGACAAGTTAGTGAACTCTCTCGCAGGGAATTTGTCGTAGATAATTTTTTGGACCCCTGTGTTCGTGTACGATAGCTAATGCCTACGGCACTGCCTATGCAGTACCGCGCAGTGCAGTACTAACTAACTCACTCTAGCCAATACATTCTCCACACCTAACCCAGACGAGACCCCACATAGCCTTCTTTCCATCAAAGATTAATTCTCACATCTACCGGTACTCAAGGCTTCAAGGAGGCAGATGGATAATAAAAGTGGGATGCCCTATTCATAGACAAGTAGCCAAAATCACTTGGTCCAAGCTTTCTTTCTCTCGTTCCCTCTCTCTCTTTTTGCCCTTTGCATGGTTTGTGCGTACGGTACTGTACTGTACTAGTACTGTACCGCCCACATCTAAGCCGAGTTAATTTAGCACTTGGAGACCCTAATGGCCATTGCTCCCCCACCCAACAACACAAAGAAACTCCCCACCGTCCACGTTTTCTCGTTGAGTGTGTGGAGTGTCAGGCACCCAGGAGGTCGGATCGAGTTAACGTCTCATTTGGTGGGGACTACCGTACACAGCCCAGTTCACGATGATATGTATTAGGAAGAAACGGGGGTAAAAAATAAAATAAAAAAAGCTATTTCAGGAAACCTTAAGCCACTATTAGTAGGTAAAGTATAATATAGCCTGAGAAGGGGAATTGGTTACTCAGCCGCAGACATAGTACTGAGCCGTTCTGTGCGGCTGTCAGTAAATTTACTGTCTGTCTTTCCTTGTGTGTGTGAAGTGTTCCTGCGATTGTGTAACCTTGCTTTACTTTGTGGGACATTAGTTTTAGTTTACGGCTGAGTTCAACTGTCACTATCATACTAGTATTGTACTTGTACCTTACTGTTGCTGGCTAAGTCCCTTGGACCCGACCACCACATATTGTACCACCGCCACCCGTCTGCTGTCCTGGGCTTTATTTATTTTTCTAACCAAAGCCGCGCTGGGCAATAACATGCATCCCTGGGCTGTGATACCTCTCTCGAGCGGTAACTATTGCTCGAGTACGGTATAGTGCAAGTACAGCACAGTCGCTCAATCAATCCACAAGGTCCAAAAGGCAGTAAGTAGGGAAAAAGAAAGGAAAAAGGTAGAGAGTCCCCGTACTCCATACTCCAATCCGGAGGACAAGTAAACCGATTCCTGCTCTCCCTTCATCCCTTACTATACTCGCTTTCTCTGCCCTGCCAAAAGTCCTGCCAAAGTATATAAATGGAGATCCTTTCCCCCAGAAGTGCAATAATAGTCGTCGTTCGCTAGCCACTCACTCGACCCCACCCGGTGTACTTCACACATAATCACTCTTTATTCCGTCCAACTCCCTCTCTTGATATTTTTATTTTTCCTGCTATTAAAAAAAGGAAAGAAGGAAAGGGCCAGCATGAAGAGCATTTCTTTCATCAGTCTGTTCGCATCGACCCTAGTCGTCAGCACCAGTGCAATCCCGCACGTTAATAGCCTCTTCGGAAGAGCCACTACTACTCAGGATCCCTGCTATACGGAGAAGTATGGGAAGGGGTACTGCCAAAAACCAAAGTATTGTAAGTAAATTATCTGGCTCGCTGTTGCTGCTCCGAGGATGTCTGTGCGGAAGAATGTGCTAATAAAGTTGATCCCAGGCAAGGGTATATTCGTCAGGGGAGCATATTGCGGGGGCGAAGACGGCAACTACGAGAATCAATGCTGTGTAGAGCTCGTGTGTAAAGTGCCCGCGGGTGCGGGATACTGCCGTGTGAAAGACAGAGGTTGTCCCGGTGGAAAATTCCAACCCAGTGATCCTGGACCTTCCGTACATCCCCCTCCTCTCCCACACTCGCCGTGCCAAAACTGACATAACAAATCCAGGAATGGCCCTGCACCGGTGAAAACACCCAATGCTGTGTCCCGGACAAAACATCCTCCCCCCCCTCGCCCGACTCGGACACCTCCACCACCAACACCAACAATACATCAGAGCACGTCGGCGGTGACGGCCGTATCAACCAAGAGGCAATCAAAATGATTAAAAAACTCGAAGGCTTCCGCGGCGATATATACAAAGACCAAGTCGGCGTAGACACAATCGGCTACGGACACAACTGCGTGACAGCGCCGGGCACCTGCGAAGCCCTGAATCCACCCATCACCGAGAAGGAGGCCGAAGACTTGATGATGAAGGATATGGAACAGTTCGAGAAATGCGTCTGCGATTTGCCGAATTCGGAGGAGCTTACTTCTAACCAGTTTTGTTCAATGGTTAGGTATGTTTGCACTTTTTTTTTTTTTGCATTTCCTTGCACTAGAATCCAACCCTATTCGGGGCTCCTGGACTAATGGGATGTACAGTTACGCGTTCAACGTCGGCTGCTTCGGCACACGGGATCACTTCGGGGAATTGATGAGCAAAAAGGATTATAAGGGAATTTGCAATGCCCTTCCGACAACTAATACAATCAGCGGTGTCCTTGATAGCCGCCGGGCGGAGGAAGCCAAGTTGTGTAATACACCGACTGAACATTTCAGTGGATGTAAGAAGCACCATTAAGCGGTGACGGTGTTGACGTGGCCTTTGTGGGCGGGGAGGTGGTGCCCGGGTGCCGTGTATATTCTTGTTTGCTTCGCGTGCGGAGCTGATGTCCATAGATTTTGGTTCACGTTAGTTGCCGCCGAGACGAGTAAATGTAATGAATGAGATACGTTTATGCCCTTGATTCCGCACTCATATGCTCAGTTGAATAGTTGTGTTCAAGCTAAAACCAAAGCCAAAGAAAGGAGAAACGCTCATGGGCTACCATGCGGTGGAGAAGAGGCCAGCGGTAAAGTGTTAGAGGTTTGAGGTTAGTAATATTCAACATATTTGCGGAGGTAAGAACAATTTCTATGCGTTCTATGCCACCGGGAAAAAATTCTACTTGGCCAAGAGGAGGATTACAGCACAGCTCCTTGACTAAGTTATTCCTAATATGATAACATTCTCCACCGGAAAAGCCAAATTCAGCACGTCCGAGTGGGCCAGCGAACAGCGAGTGATTTTTGGTGTCGGCAAAGACGCACCTCTGGAGACCTGCACAATTGAAGGGAAAATAAAAAATAGATATAGACATACTCTATCAGGAACGAATAAACCTTTCTCGTTCTACCTCTGGATTCTTATAACGTAGCGTACAATATTTACCATCCCTGGCAGTGGTCAGTTGCTGGCACAGCCACTCGACAGCAGTGTTCGTACGTGATCCGCTGGCTCCCTCCATTCGCTACTGGGATTACAGTCACTTTATCGAGTAATTGATTTTCACAAAAAAATTAAAAATCTCCCTCCACAGGAATTAGCACTCAAACTCTGTGGGGGAGTATGGCACCTGCCTTATATCATTCATAGCCTCTTCTCCATAGCGTCTTTCCCTTCTGGGGTAATCTCCAATCCTTGGGCACCGCTGATGCGATCACTTTTCAAGCTAGACCCGTGCGTGCTAGATAGGATGGTGTCTGAGAAGCGAATGAGGAGCTGTGGTGGGAGAGCCTAGCACAGTTTCAACGATGTTTCCGGGGAGCACTGAACGACACGGCATTTCAGGGCGTAAATTTCCTATAACGCACTCGATTAGTTTTTACATCGTCTTCACGGACGAAGGCCAGCCAGACCGGCTAATCCTGGGCAAAGATACTATATCGTACAGTGCCCCCTTAGTTTAGCCGGACTGCTTCCTGCTCTCCAACCCTCGTTCACGGGAGGGGTGTCTCGCAAGTGCTATTTCCCCTCGCCGGCGGCACTATATAAGCTTTAGGGCATCTAAGGCTGCCCATCTATGATACTTCTCCCCTCCTTGATAGTCGAGTACTTAGAATAGGCGAGCTCTCAAACCAATGGGGCTACCAGGTACCGGAACACTTTATAGGAGGGCGGTTGTAGTCCCAAATAGGACGCTTCTTGGACTAGATTCGGCTGAAAAACACTCGAGTACTTGTGCGCAGAGCGGGAACCCGGTAATCTACAGCGACCTACGAGCTTCCTTTAAATGCGCTTTGAAATTACACAGCCCACTAAAGGCCAGCCAACAATAGCGACCGCTAGCCATGGAGGGAAGCATTGTGCAAGCATTCATATATCGCTGACTCAAGTTGACTGAAATCAAGCACTATCAGAAGAACTATCCTGAAAGTATCGTCTCTGCCAAGCGACCAAGAATCCCCAGACATCCCGAAGCACCTCCTACTAGCCATAGGAGGTGTGGGTGATACTCGAGTAAATTACTCGGACTACTTGCTACTAATAAATTTAATCCATTCCCTTAGGAACGGACCAAGCCTTGGGTGGGATACCGCTAAATTACTGGGATACCGGTATGATGGAGGGAGCGGCCGTCCTCCCGCGCGGTTTTTCCCAACATCGCGAATGCTATGACCGATATCGTGAGAAGGCGAGGCCTCGCCGCTGTCTCACGGGGCTATTACGACACCCCCAAGCTAAGAGATAATATGGTATGAGATGACATAAAATTTCCAAAAACAGCAACCCTCTTACCGGTACCTAACCTTCACGCAGCAACACTGACTAATCTGTCTGCTAAAGACCTGCAAAAAAATGTCCAAAAAATTACAAGCCCGATGCGGGGGTCGAACCCGCGACATTGAGGTTTCTGAACAATGCAGATATCCGAAGATAAAAGCCACACGCTCTACCACTGAGCTAACCGGGCGTACATCGTTTCTCAACATTTTGCAATCTCAAACACACCCTTTGCGAAGAAAGCCTCTGACCATCGCCGCAACCATACTAATTAACTACTACAATGCCCATAAGAACCTACGTGGAACCCATTCCTAATAGCAAAGAAAAAAGACAAAAATAATATCGGGAAAAAACAGCCATACGTCAACGCCTTTTGACCAATCGGTCCACCAATCTATCACTCCTCCAACTACTTCGCAGAAACGACCGCTAGCCATTTTTGTTCGTCCTTTTTATCAAATTTCAAAAGCATGCCAAGAACTGGCACCAACTGCAGCTGTGTCTTTTTGTCCTTCTGTTCGAGGAATTGAAGGAGGACATTCTTTAGGTAGTCCATGTTCACCATCTGGTTTCCCGGGGTATTAGCATGTGCGGAGGATGGTGATGCGCGGCCGGAACGGGCAGAGTCTATAGATGATCTGGTGTTGTTATCGATGCCCTTTGGACGGATAATCTGCAGCTGGCGGTATTCCTCTTGAAGAGCCTAGGGGCGGTTGATTAGAATCCCGGCAACATGAGGATGGGAAATATATCTACCTTGTATGATTTCTGCAGTTTCTCGGAGCGGGCTTGTTCCTCCTGGAGAGTCTTGCGCATCTCTGCCCTTTGACACTCTATTTCCTCCATCTGGTTATCGGTTTGGTCGAGGGCATCTTGCATACTTATCATAGCCTTCTTGGTGTCTTCATATTCTCCTTTGATCCTTTCAAGTGCCTCCTCAGCACGGGATTTACCGTCCCTCAACCCGTTCAGCTCCCGTTCTGCTGCTGTTTGGGATTCTTCGGCATGCTTTAGATTGCGCTCCGACTCCCGGACTCTATCGCGGAGTTCCTCAATTTCCCTTGCTCGTCTGCGGCCAATGGTCGCAGCTTCCTCTTCGGCCTTGTCACGCTCATCAAAGGCAGCCTCCATGCGTTCCTTCATGTCTCTAGTTCGGGCGCCGTTTCTATCTTCAACCTCACTGAGCAGTCTTCTCATGGTCTCTGCTTCTCTAGAACGCTCGCTGAGGAGTTTGTGGGCTTCCGTAAGTTCCTCCTCCATCGATTCATATTTCTCGACGGCTTCCTTCATCTGCATTGCTAGTTCGCCGGTTTGGTCCCTCATGGAGCCCATCAAGCTTTGGGAGCTGGAATACTGCGCAACCTTCAATTCCAGTTCCTCAGCCAGGGTAGTATTTTTGTCCCTAAGGGCTCTAATTTCCTTTTCCAAAGCCGCAACCTTCGGCTTCAGAGCATTGACCTCCTCCTGGACTCTCGCGTGGTCTCGCGCGATCTTGTCCGCTGCTTCCAGCACTTCCTTTCGCTCGTCATCCAACTTCCTGAAGTCCTTCTGAACTCGCCTGGTGGCCTCCTCCGCCTGGACTCTCCTAGCTGCCTCCTCACGAACTTTGGCGCGCATTTTCTCAAGCTCAGTTTCCTTGTCTGATATCTTCTTGTTGAGGTTTGCGATGTCGTTCTTAAGGTCTCTCTCAGACCTCTCAAGACGCTTCAACTCAACAAGTTTTTGGTTCGCCTCATTTTTCCCGGCCGTCAAAGCAGCCACCTCTGCTCTCAGCGACGTGAGTTCCGTCTGCGCTTTCTCGATAACTACTCGGAGCTCCATAATGTCCTTGTATCTAGTGGCTGCCAATTTTTGGGCGGCGGAGAGATCAGTTTGAAGCGTAGAAGACTTCTGTTTGAGGCCTTCATGCTCTGCGATCAGGGCGGCGTGAGCTCTCTCGTTTTCCGCAGATGTCAACAAGTTTTGCGACTTCAATGACGATATCTCAGATTCCAATTCTTGAACCTCTTGCTCAAGCTCTTCCTTCCTTGTTCTTGCTTCATGGAGCCCTTTCGCTTGATCCTTAATCTTATCTCGGGCTTCCATATGGTCCCGGCCGAGATTTACAAGATCGTCTCTCAGAGATTCTATCTCCTCGTGGACCGCTTCGACATCCACCAACTTGGCCTTTAGCCTAACGATCTCCTCTTCTTTCTCCTCCAATCTCCATTGTAAACCAGAGTTAAACTTGGCAATCTCAGAATCTTTCTCATCCAACTGTGAACGCAACGTAACGAGCTGGTTCTGAAGATCCTCAATAATCGACTCAGACCAAAGGCTAGCTTCCGGAACTAACACTGGTTCTAGCTCCTCATCGACGATCTCACTGTCCTTGACCGGGCCTTCATCTGGAGTAGAAGTTGAACCTTGAGCACCCCCTCTGACTCTGCCTCTCCTCTTCCGATTTTTCTTTGTGTTCTTGCCCACTCCGGATGTAACACCAGCCGCGCTTGGTTCGGAATCCTTAGAGGCTGGGAGGGCCTCCACGCTAGGCTTTGATGAGTTCTCAGCCAGCCTTCTCTCCGATTCCCGAAGTTTCCCTTCGAGATTGACGACAGCCCGTTGTAGCACGATCTTCCCATCCCTTAACTGATTGACCTCCTCCGTGAGCTTGCTAAGGTGTTTCAACATGTCGTTATTCGTATTATTGGTTGTCTCCAAGTCAGAGATTTTCTGTTTTGAGATCTCCAGTGCCCTCTTAGCTTGTGTTAACCCGGCCTCTTTCTCTTTAAGGTCTTTCTTTTTCCCCTCAAGCTCTCTGGCTTTCTTATCCAGCGCCTTCGTAGTCTCCCCCAATTCCTCAGCTCCAACCCTCGCTTTTTCCTCCGCTGCCTTGAATCTAGCTTCCGCTAGTTTCAAGTTCTCTTCCGTCAAAGCCCTATCCCTTTCCATCTCCTGCAAATCTTTTCTAGTCTTCTCTGCAATCTCCATAGCCTCATTCTCTCTCGCGGAGGCAAGCTCGCGTGTAGTTTCCAGATCCTTTTGAGCATCCTCTACACTTTGTTGCATTCCCTCCACAGCCTCCTCGGCGGCTTTCTGAGCAGCTTTGGCTGAATCAAGGTCTGCCCTGAGTGCCTCAATCTCTTTCTGCTGTTGCTGGACCAAAGTCTGCAATTTCTCATGCTCATCATCGAACGAGAAGATGTCATCAGACGACTCCCCCCGCTGCTTAGTAGTAGAGCTTTCCACGACTCCATTTGAAACTTTCATTTCCTTCTTCAATTTCTCAATCTCCTCGTCCCTAGCCCTCTGTTCGTCCTTGAGTTTCTGTATCTGCGATTTATGCTCGTCTCGCTCTTTAGAAACTCGGATAAGCTCCTCTTTCGCTAAGTCGGCTCGTAGAGCAAAACTGTTGATGTAATCGATGAGGGGTTTGGGATCGGCTATTGACTCGAAGGGTGTATTTTCACGAAGAGCTTTCTCAAACGGTTCGATGAGAGCGTTGCGGGCATGAACAATCTTGTAAGAACGTAGTAGATCTGCGGAATAGAGATTAGTTCAACAAATACACAAACACTGCAAACAGCTAGTCATCTGACAAACCGTTGTGTTTCCCCTCGATTTTCTCCAACTTTCTCAGTTTAACTCTAACATCTGTTGGTAGATCCACATTCGATGACGAAGGCGACGATGACGACGACGACGAAGATAAAGGTCCAGGGGCTGGGCTCGCACTTCTAGAGGGAGCATCATTTTTTCTCCCACCTCCGCTCCCACCTTCGCCCGTGCCACTTGCTCCCCCAGAAGAACTCTTCTCGTTTTCCTTACCACTCGGCTGTGATTTACCACCCACAGCTCCCAGTGGATCCCCTGACACCACCTCCCCTTGAAGAGGTGTGCCCACCCGTGAAGGGATCAAGGTAGTAACTGAACTCCCATCGCTCTCATTCTCGAATTCAGATGGGTCCTTCTCCTTCCCCGCTGCGGCTGTCCTTGCACGAGAGTCTGCGCGCTGCGCGGGAGAACCTGAACGGCGGGATGGTAAATTTCGGGTTCGTGCTTGCTCTTGCTGAATCTGCGAATCTATGTGCGATTCCAGTACGCCTTTTAATCGTGAAAACATTTCCGTTATGCGTTTGTATCTATCTCTAGTTAAAGTCGTGGCAAGAGGGGGTTGAGAAGTTTGGTCTATCGAATGACGGAAGCAGCAAACAGAACGGAACGGGATGACGGACAGGGCCGGCCGGGGAACAGTTTGGCTTAAGGAGCCGCGCCAAGACCGCACCAGTTGTCACTCGAATTTCTGCTTTTCTTTTTTTTTTCTCCGCACAGCGGTAGGAGATCACCAAAATTATTTTGATCGACTGATCGATCCCTCAGGTCGCATACGTGTTTCGAATGAGGGTTTAATCTTATAATAGTCTGCATAAGGTATGACAGAACTTGTGTTATTTCGTGCATTCTTTTTTTTCCTAGCTCTGCACCACTCCACTGGGTCAGGCAAAGTGTTGAAATACATAATTTACAGTGGAAGCAGGCCCTCACCTACCGTACTCGAGTGCTCAGACAGTACGCCTTGTGGATGGAGTGAACCTTGTTAGCGAGCTGCGGCATCGCTAACTTTACCTCTGGGACTGCAGGTTTCTACCGTATTACCACCCGACAAAAATCTAGGGTGGGTCCGTCATCAGACAAACCCCACAAGATGAATCGAATCTCCTACCAGATCGAGATAGAAAGTCACATGACAGGAATGCATGAGTCTACCTTGAGGTCCACAGACGAGTATTTCGCTCCAATTTCCGGGTTTCCCGAGTGATGCTCCGTGAGCCAGTGTTGGATGATATGTAACGTTAGAGGTCATGAGGTTTTTGATCATGCTCGATGAGTCTCCCGGAACCCGTCTTCTCAGCTACCAGCTATCATACTCGGCTCGAATAGTACAATCTTACCCGATATCGCAATAAACCAGGGAGAAGATGATCCAAACCCCACTCTCAGCTACCCCGGCGTCGGTAGGTAACTCACAGTGAAAGTGCAGGAAGGGGGCGGAGGACCAGATTGGTGAAATGCAGTTTGTGCTATCATAGCTTGGATAGCAGCCCCTTGTTTTTGCCGCCTTGCTCCCCAACCCTCAGCAACAAAAACCATGAAAACCCCACCAACCCCTCCATCTATCGGTGCAACACGTATCACAACTCAAGAAAGCTCTCACTAAATAAATTTCAACAACGAATGCTCTCGTCATGACATTCGTATCAGAGTATTATCACTTCCCGCTACTTGGAAATGGGTATTCAGCCGCTGACATCTTCAGTCAACTCCTTCATCTAGACGCCCAAATCGACCGCCTGGCACTTGACCGTCTGCCCTTGACTTTCGACTCCCACCCCGCAACACCTCATTCACTCCCGAGTCAGCCTCCACGCCTTCCTCCGCCGACACCCCGCGCGATAAAACTTCAGAATATAATAAAATCTCTTTCAACGACCACTCCCCGTACTCTTCTTTCACCTAAACGATTGGTTTCCCTCCTCAAGAATGCCACAATCCCGACCCATACCTACGGCTCATACGAAGCAGAGCTGTACGAAACAGAACTTGAATGGCTGCTGCTGAGTAAGGCTACGATACAAACCTACGGAATCGTTCTAAATTCTCTCCTCGAGCAAACGCTCCCGTTGTCTCAGGATCTGTTCTATTGGGATGAGGTTGCTGGCAGTTATAGCTACACAGCACTGTACTCTCTACAAACTGCGCCGGAGAAGATGTGGGACTTAGGGAGGGAGGTTGTGAATGATGCAATGAAGAGATTCAAGGAGAGGGATGGGATGGGCTTCATGGCAGTTGGGGGGCATTCTCGGGAGAGTTTGCTAGAGAATGATAACCAAAGTGAGAGGGAAGATACCAAGGGAAAAGAAACTTTGTCAGCTACCGCAAGAAGATTTTATGCACTCGTCCGGAATTCATTAAGGGACCGGAGCCTCGTTGAGTTTCAGAGGGTTGGGGCCTTGTCGCCGTTTTCACTGGCTAGGCATGAGATACGGATGAAGCAGGCTGGCATTAAAAAACTGCGGGAAATGCAGGCTTCTGCTTTAGGCGTATTGATTGGGGAAGGGCTATCTTTTGGGTTCGAGGAGGAGGAACATGAGGAGTGGAAGATTATTGTTGAAAGAGCAGTATTGTTGATGGAGAAGGTGGTTAGGAATGTCTCTTCGGTGGAAAGCACACTGGACGAGTTTGAAGAGACCGTGTTTTCCCTCGACGGACTTGGGGGAAGGACCGATGACGATGAGGAAGATGAACGAGGATCAAGGTTATCCTTAAGGCATTATACTGGTGGCTCCGGGGGAAGAGTCGCAACGTCAGCATTAGAGAAACAACTCCAAGAAATTCTCCTCAAGCACCTCCCTGCCCAGTCAATTGCTTCTAGAGCGTTAATATCAACCCATGGCCGCCCCAGTATAATAACTAGATACTGGTTACCAGCCACAGCCCTTTTACTCTCGTCTTCCACGGTTCTTAGGATCCTCGTGAACCGTCAGGCAGAGCTGAAACAATGGCTTCAGGAACTTGGTGCAACAGCGGTTGACTTTTGGACGAACTGGGTTGTGGAACCAGTCCGAAAAATCATTGGGACTATCCGTCACAGGGAGGACTCGGAAGTTGCGCTCATGAGCCGGAGCTCTTTGAAGGCCGATATGGAGTCCCTAGAACGGATGGTAGTTGATTTTGCCGCGGATAATCCTGCAACATCTTTACCTGAGGGCTCGATGCCGTCCCCATTGACGGATCTTCAAATCCAGGCTATTAGACAGGCAGTCCACGAAGGAGACCTAACACCGGTTCTCAAGTCCTACGAGCAAGAGCTCAGGGCCCCTTTCAGAGGGGCGGTTAAGGGAGAGCTACTCAGAGCTCTTTTAATTCAAATACAAAAGACGAAAGTGGACGTCGAGGTAGCCATCAGTGGGATTGATCATCTTCTCAAGTCACAGGAGTTGGTTTTTGGCATGGTGGGTCTTACTCCTAGTGCACTAGCCTGCGTAGGAATATTCCAGTGGGCAAGGCATTCTATGGGCAAAGGCAGAGGCCGTCGTAGCGGCCAGCGTGGCGGAGAGATGGTCAGAACTTTAAGAAACATCGACAGAATCCTTACCGGTAGCGCCGCTTACAGAACTGGTGAACGTGATGATGATAGAGGCGGAGTCCTCACTTACAAAGAGCACGGCCTGCTACTTTGCGAGGTCCATGTCCTAAGGGAGTTCGCCAAGAAGACTCTTCCAATAGGCGTTTGGGCCGAGTTCGTGGAGGATGTGGAGGAGCTGGTCGATGTGAGACGGGGTGTGAAAAACCAATTCAGGGTCTTGGAGAGAATTAGATGGTAAGTATTTAGCCATAACTTGTGTGAATAGAATAGAATATACTGATCTAGGAATAGGGCATATGCAAAGTGGATCAGATAGTAAGGACATCCCGGCAGGGTGTAACGGTTAGAATAGGGAACTAGGGAGGTTGATGACATTCGAAGTCGGTGGCGAGCGTCTTAGGTTTTATACTCAAAGAATACCTTCCTTCGAATCTACACCCGGTAGCAAATCTCCTAGGTTATGTACGAGTACCGTAACCCACTTTAAACCCTGCCTGTCTACTATTACTCGTAGAACATGTATGATATTTAAAATAGCGTCGAAACGTGGCAGGTTATTCTCAAATTAACAAAGAGCCATGTACTCTTGAATTTTCTCTGCGGAGAACTCATATTGTACCCGACTCGACCATTGAAGGATTAGCATATTCCTTAGGTCCTGCAGCCGAAATTGTCGTATTCACTAGAGTCTGTGCCATGATACCTGCCGGGAAAACGCTGAGGTAAACTACCGTAGGGCCGGGATTTGCCAAGCCTAGTCCATCTGCAGCTCGGCTCTTACAGGCAAGCGACTGGCAGAAGGAGAGGGACAGAAGGAAGAGACCACCAACGCCTCTTCTCGACACGGAAGCACCGGTGACTTTTCCATACTAACGAGATAGATTCCCTTAACATCGACCGTTGAAGAAGAATAACTCTATCCTCCTCTAGTGCATAACAATACCCTCAACAACAGTCAAACATCCACCAACCCTCTTACATAAAACGCATCACACGAATCAAGGAACTCCTTTCTTTGGTTTTTCCTCTCGATAGAGGTCTTTCTGTCGCAGTCCACCTCGCAACTTGGCTCCTGGCCCTCACGTTCTGCTCCTCTTGCACTCCATCCTCCAACTCGCTCCTTACCCCCTCCCCTTCTTTGATCCTAGTGGAACATTTCCTTTTTTCTCACGGGAAGCCCTAACATCCGCCCCATCTACTATTGCATTCCCCCGACCACGGGTCCTCAATCCAAACTACTTCCCCTCCACCAAGGTACCACCAACAGAAAAGATGGCCGGTTCAAGAAACTATGACTTCCTGGTACCTGATTATCCCCTCCTCCTCTTTTCCCCACGTTAACATAGTGGGATGGTTTTGGCTCACTGGTATTCTGTTCTCATTGGTATAGATAAAGCTTCTCCTGATCGGTGATTCAGGTGTCGGGAAATCATGCTGCCTTCTCCGGTTCAGCGAGGACTCCTTTACCCCGTCTTTCATCACCACTATCGGCATTGATTTCAAGATCCGAACAATCGAGCTGGACGGCAAGAGGGTCAAGTTGCAGATATGGGATACTGCCGGTACGCACATCTATTTTGATTTATTGAAGCATCTACACATCTAGCATCCATCTCATCGCTTCTCATATCTTCCAATCACCTCAAATCTAAGCTAATAATTCCCCGATATACACGCGAACAGGTCAAGAGCGTTTCCGAACAATCACCACCGCTTATTATCGCGGTGCGATGGGCATCCTACTAGTATACGATGTTACCGATGAACGCTCATTCAATAGTAGCCTCTCCTTCCTTTCTCCCTTTTCCTACCCTCTAGCCATTCCCTAGCACACCGCCAGCTAATGTAACAACAGACATCCGAACTTGGTTCTCTAACGTAGAGCAACACGCTACAGAAGGCGTTAACAAGATATTGATTGGAAACAAGTGCGACTGGGAAGAGAAGCGAGTTGTATCCACCGAGCGCGGGCAGCAACTCGCCGATGAGCTAGGAATCCCATTCATGGAGGTATCCGCAAAATCCAATATCAACGTCGAGAAGGCCTTTTTCAGTCTCGCAACCGACATCAAGAAGCGAATCATGGATACCGCAAGGGCCGAGGAGAAAGCCGGTGGACAAGGCAGCGTCGTTGACCCAAGCAGGGACAGCGGAAACATGAGTGGGAAATGTTGTTAATTCCTAACCGGTAGAAACTTTGTCTTTCTTCTTGCTCTCTTCTTCCTTTACGTTTTCTCTTTTTTGTCTTCTATATTCCTTCTATTAGCTTTATTTCGCCTCGAACAATGGGGCAGAACTTATCCGAGTAAGTAACCAAGTAGATCAAAGCTAGACCGGGAATTGGAAGTTGGGGAGATGAAAGGAAAGATACGAAATGGATGGGAGGACGAACGGATGGAGGGTAAAGCTACGACAATGAATGGATAGCGCCATATGTTTGGGTCTCTTTTGGTGCGTTGGGTTAGGATCTTATTTTTATTTTCTTCTCTTCATTACTTGTTTTCCCATTCTTTTTTTTCTCTCCCGTCCTTCAAGTGTACCCGAATACGCACCTTTTCCTTTTCCTCTTGTTATCGATAAAATACTTGCCCCAAACTGTCTTTTTCGTACGTTTGATTCCTATTTTTATTTTTATTTTTCTCTTTTCTCAACATTCAGATTTTCTTTTCTTCGATTGTCAAAGATGGATTGAATTGAGGAAGGGAGGGATAGGACGCGGAGGTAATATTCTAATAAAGATATGGGGGGATCTCGTTCTTTATTTTGTTTTTCTTCCTTATACTATTTCTATCGCACTTCGGGGATTGACATCTTGTAGATCGGATATCAGAGTTGGAGGTGGGTACTCAGTTTGTCGGTCCAGATACAGTACATACCTGCACCTACTCTGCACCCCCAATTCATCCACATCGCCCGCAACGTAACGAACATAAGGCAGTAGAAGAAACCTTTGAATTGTCTCTATCTCCCTACCCACCGCCATGGTATCCCACCTCACCTTCAAGCTCTAGTTCTCATTCTAGCGTCTACACCCCTCCCCTCCCATCGCCCACAGGCAGATCCCGAACCTACTCCTGAACATACTTCGCCCGAATATCCTTCCACTGCCTCTGCTCCCCCAAACCCCCATTAGCCCCCCATTCACCCACTCTCCATCAACCCCAAGGGCAAACAAAAACTCACGCCACGATTAAGATTATCCCAAACCCTATCAGTTGCCTGATCGAACAATCTACCAATGCCCCCGCAAGAAAAAACTGCATTAGCTTTCCGTACCGTTACCGCCAGAACAAAGAGAGGGAGCGTGGGGGGAGGCAAACATCTCAAAAGCGAAAGCACCGGCGAATACACTTCCAACAAAAACGTAGTTTCGGCGGAAGATTGTGTTGTAGATTGATTGCGAGAGCTATGGGTGGTAGGTGGGTATCATAGTTAGTTATTGCCGAGAGGAGGGGGAAGGTAAGGGGGGAGAGTACACTCATGGTTGTGGTTGTTGGGGTGGAGTGGGGTTGAAGATGGTGAGCCCAGGTGGATGGAGCGGAAGGGGATTTGTTTGGAGAGTTGTTGATTAGTCAGCTTGCATTTATTTTTATTAAATTTTTTTTTTTTGAAGAAGTTTTGATTGGTGGGTGTTGGAAGGGTACCGTATCATACGGTACCGGTACATAGCGGACGGGTAGACTGCAGCACTCATGTGTCTTTGCCAAGAATGTACGATATCTGGAACCTTGGGGTTTCCCAGACCTAAACCCGTGCCAAAATTTCCGGTTACTTTGGAACGGGCAAGTAGAACGATAAGTGTGATTTAAGGGGACTTTTTTTCACTTTTTTGTCTTTGCGCCCTAATAAAGGAGGGGTATTATTAGCGATATGGAGTGTTTGGAAGAAATGAAATGGGGTATAAGGATGCTAGGGGGATTGATATCGCCTTCCCCGCCCCACAGTTTGATAGACTGACACCTCTCTACACCATGATGAGCACAGGGCGAAAAAGAAGAAAGAAAGAGGGAAGAAAAGGCAACGAAAGAAGCAGATGGAAGGCAAGCATGTACAGTGTTTTGCCCTAATTACCAGAGTGATAAGGGAATGTAAATGTAACATTAGGTTCCCAGCGTAACTCCTGATGAGGAAAACCCCAAGAAAGTGTAAAACGAAAGATGAAAGGAGGGAAAAGAACAGTTATGTGACAGCATTTGACTTGGCTTAAGCCTTCTTCCTCGCTTTCCCTCTTTTGGCCTTTGGCTGGGAGGCTTCGAGGATCCCCTCATCGTTTGAATCCTCCTCCAACTTGGCCTCTTTTTCTAGAGTACCACCCTCCTCGTCGCCGCTCGATTGCAGCTCCTGCCCCTCTGTGGCTTTGCTCTTAGTAGTTCTGAAATCTTCGGGGTTGGGTGATGGGCTCCGGGTTGCTCTTCTGCCCTTCGCCTCACCACCATCCAGAATATCAGGAGTAAGCCTGCAAGCCTCCCCTTCACTCCCTGCATACCTTTTTTGGCCAGGCGGGGAACCATTCCAGGTCCCACACCTCGCACATCCCCAACCCCCTATATCCTCCAGATTCGTGGCTCCCGGAGGAGCAAGACCGTTCACCATGCGGCAATTCTTGCAAATTAAGGCATACCGGTTTTTTGCACTAGTCTCATCTTCCCCAACTATCACATCTAAGAGACGATCATACCATTTTGGAGTAGTTTCTTCTTCAGGTTGGATCAGTTGCTGGGAAGAAGGCTGGGTTTGCGGGGGATTATGAAGGGGGGCGTCCGGATTTGGCCGGCCCGAAATTTCGGGCATGTCTGGTTGAGCTCCGGGATGTAACCGGTGCTGCATTTGTGCCGGAGAGGGTAGCCCAGCACGTTGTTGAGCCATCATCTGCTGCTGGATCAACTGTTGCTGGATTTGTTGGGGTGTTGAAAGTACAGTCGGGCCAGCAGCTTGCGGTGGGCCTTGGGGTCCTAACTGGCCTTGTGAGCGCTGACGTAACTGTTGATTTACGGAAGATCCTTGGGGCGCACCAGGCTTTTGTTGCTGTTTCTTATCCGTATCTGCTTGAAAAGATGATCTCGAGGAAGATCCCCTACCATACTTTTCGATGATGGACTGTGTTGTTGAGAACTTTGTGGCAGCCTTAAGTTTTTCGATAGTATCATTCTGCTTCGTTTGTAGCTCCTCCAAAGCACCCTCCGCATTCCCGATACGATAGTTATAGTAAAGATCGAATAGCTTCCTTACTGACCAGATACTGCTCAAGGAAGTTGTTAGCACAATTTCCGGTAGAGCAGAGCAGAGCACAGTACCAAACCGGTCCACCCGTCACTCCCGAAAGTTCCACCGGTCCCACCTCCTTCCACCCCACTACTGAGACTATGACCACAACGTAAATAATGTACCCTATCACTGTATATAGAGTGAATAGCGCTTTGTAACGGCGAGAGCGTTGACGAAGGCCGGTTAGTTTTGTCGTTTGAGTCTGGATTTGACTGGCTAATTTCGAAAGGATGCGCTCAAACGAATCAGGGGAGTTGTCTCCCTAGAAATATCAATTTTCTCATTAGTACTCCGTAGAAAATTTCCAGGTGCCTGAGAACAAAAGTACTCCATCTGGGAAGAAAGCTCACTCTACTGAATGGCCAAAACAGAACCATCTTGCTCCCTCTAAAACCAGCAGGTATGGATAACCTGTAGCTAAGAAGTCAAGGGCTCGAATATCCCCGCACCGACAAATAATAAGGTAAGGTTTCAAAAGTGGATTAGAAGCAGTGGTGAGTGAGCAAATAGCTGAATGAAGGGGGAAGGTTGTTAGAGAAGGAGCTTCGGTGTTTTCATGTGGTAAAGAAGCCACGGCGGCGGTTCCGCGTGTCGTTACGAATATAAACGTCACGTGACATGTGATCTCTCAGGATTCGTCGAAGGAGTCGTTGCAACCTTGTTGGTGACATTTTTTTACAGAAAGAGAAAACTACACAGAACGATGATGATGATGCTGCTACCATTGCTACCGTTATCTGGACAACTGTTCAATTCCTTCTTTTATCCTTCCCCTATCCTCCGTCCAAGGGCCCGAACAAGGCCTTTGAGGGGCCTAAACAAGGCCCGAATCCCCACACCCCTTCTCCTACGGTAGCAGACTGTCCACTGCAGGAATACTTGCTATTTATCCGCCTCTCTCAATCTTCTCCTCACCGGTTTCCCCCAACTCTATACCCTTATCGTCACAGAACTTGGCCATCTCCACGTCCTTGTGGGATAGCCCTTCCGGATTGTGAGTTGTCCAGCGGATAGCGACTTTGTTGTAGACCTAATTCTTACCCAGAAAGAAAAATAGATTCTCCCAAGTCAGTTTGCGAGTCGGTTCTTAATACCTATGGCGCCTCATGCAATTGCTATCTGACAAGGTAGAGAATTTTTGCCCACATTTTCCCACTCTGGATGATGTTTCTTGACTTTGCATTGGTCCGCAACTTGGTTGATGAAAAGCTATCTCCCCTTGGTTAATTAATGCTAGGTTTCCCATCCTTGACACTACAATTCCTTTTGTAAAGCTCGATGCAGAGCAGTTGACACGTACCATGGCTTTTGCAAAAGTCTTGAACTTGAACTCTCGTTCTATTCCCATTCGAGTTGCGCTAAGCGACCATCTTCCCCTAGAGATCAAACATAAAGCCTCCTTCTTTGTGGCTTCATCCGTCCCTAGGGACCACTGAGGCTCGTTTGCCTCTGAGAGAGCCTGCGCTTTCCCAAACGTGGGAGTCGACATGCGGCATGGTGTTTTACCCAACGTTGGGTAGCGAGGCAAGGTGCTATGTTGGATCAGAATCGGTCGCGCTCGAAGTAGGTGGTGAGGGAGCAATGGCATTCTGGTGACAATTATCGACCCATGTTAGTATCATACAAAAGGACAATATGATGACCGGATACCACGTACCTGAAATAAACTGAACTTGGTTTGTGCAGCCCCTCCCTTTTGACTAGGTATCAGTACTAACATTTATGAGGCCAGAGGTTGCTTTAGTGCAGCCCTCCTGATTAACCCTTGACCCTTAACCCTTCACAACTCTAAGCGCTTCAAACTTGCGAGCTCCCGAACCCAACGTCACCTCTTCCATCAACACCATCTCTAGTATGATACCAAGGCAACTAGTCAGCTTAAGCTGATCTTGAGGACAAGATAATATGTGTACATATACGGACACTTACATTGATTTCTTCCAAAACCATCACTAATTTCCACTCTACTTGCAGAACCAATCGGCCCCACCCACAGTTTCTCCTTGAGAGGTCTGTAACTGATTTATTTCAAGGTAATATCTCGGTAACCTGTACCTGGTGGGGCACAAAGTGAATGACTTCTCTCTTAAAACGAGAGGGGTTCCAGAGGGCTAGCATTTGTCTGCCAGTTTCTCTCTGGTAGACCACGATTAAGCCGGAGTTCCAAGAGTTCTCGATTTTTGGGGCTTGACTACGCCTGGTCTTACATTGGCTTTTCCTTCTTTTCTTTTTTGATTGACTTATTTTATTTTTCGTGTGTGTACACTACTGTACATCCAACAGATCCCTCGTGTCGACCAATGCCCTTCGTGATCATGCACTGACTATTGCAGCCTGGATCATTGTAAGGGATATATTGCATGCTAAACTATCCCCTGAACTTATGGGTGGTGAGAAACTAAAGAAGTGTTTTTTTCTATTCCTCCGAATGAAGTATCTCCAGACATAGAGCGTTGTATTGTACCTTGCTACAAAGGTTGGTCATGGCTGCAGGCTAGCTGCTTGCTGGTTCGGGTTCATGATCGTCTTCCGCTCTGACAGTGGGTGGTCCTCGGCCCCTTTTGCTTCTGGCAGCGAGTGGGGAGCTTCCATCGGCGGTGGCCTTCATGGAGGGTTGTGCAGCACACACATGCGAACAAACAATACAAGCTATGGTAGTGATTTGCCTATACTATGCGCAGGATTTTTTTTCCCCACGAGGTGAGGACGAAAATGGGAGTGCTGCTGTAAAGGTGCTCCTGCAACGACCAACTGTTAGGGACAGTTATGTCCTTATGCGTCTTGATGCTCGTACTTCCGAGAGGGATTGAAACCGGCAAATAGAACAGTCTGTGCTTTTGCCAAATGGTGAGATGCGAATCCCGTGGGGGATTAGTGGGGGCACCGTTGCTCGAGCCCATGTTATGGCCAAACGGCTGTGAGGGATGACTGCTAATTTCCCTGGTGCTTTTTTTTTTCACATACACCAAGTCCAGATTCCCCCGCATGACAGTATAATGCGCATTTACACTCGTTCGGATTCGCCAAGCGAGACAGCTACTAACATGGCACGATAGCATAGCTATTTTGACGTGCACAGCTTATCCTTGAAAGGATCGGGCGAAGAATTTGTCTCTCCGACTCGTCAAGCAAGCGCGTGAGGGGCAACAAAAATTCGGGCTGAAATGGTGCAGAGGCTACAAACTAACCTTCCAGCCCAAAGCCCTCATCCAGGAAGGGTAACCCGATACTTTGTCAGTGCGATGGTTGGCCATTGCCCCGGGCAGAGGCGCTTGGAATATCATTTCCTGGCTTTAGTGTCTGCTGGAGTATCTGGTTCGGGGGGCCCGGGGGGGGATCCGGGCAAACCCCTCAAGAGATTCTGCTACTGGTCACTTCAAGACCCACTGCTGGTATGAAACTACCGCATCTATACTTATCGAGGGTGTGTGCAGGGACTCGCACCTGTCTCCAGGCCATTGGATGTTTCTGCACATAGCACCAAAGTGCTTCCGGCTCTTTTGTGGGCCGGCAGGTAGCAAAGCCTTACGATCTATGATATGATCATGATGTTTGATCGGCACTTTCTGAGTGCTTATAATTTCCGTGCCATTTTACACCATGACACATTCTTTCCCCGTATCTTGATCTGCTCCAGTAATAATGCAAATAGGATTAAGAATATGTCCAAGCAGGTCCTCTAAAAATGAGAGGGCTTTAATCTTGAACAAAACTCATGGTGTATGGCAATGGAGCTCTAGTTCCCCACAAGCCTGACGCATGGGTTTTCCATATGATTGATTAATTGGTGTCGGATGCATGCAGATAATTGCTGATTGTTTGTGTCCCCCCACGTCACTCCTGTAATGTAACGCAAGGATTGTTGCTGATTACCACCACAAGTAACGGGAAAAGATTCACCAGTCACATTAAAGTCGGTTCATATCATGAACTGAGGAAATGGCGCAACGCCTCTCTCTGTTATCCGATCGGACTAGGAAGAGGAAGAGAGTTAAGTATAATCTTTCCGATGCATCGCAAAATGCATTTAACGGCATTTTCCCATATCGTAGATGTCCCTGATTTCATATCGGTCGCTAAGGGCAATACCTCGACATGCGCTCAATCATTACCGGCGCATATAGCTTGACAACACCGTATGAAAGATGAGACACGTTTCGAATTCCGGACAAAATACATCATGAGATATCACTCGCCTGATGCCGAGTTTGTTTTCTCACCGCTGATCAAAATAGATCCAGTTGATGAACGGCAGTCAGCTATGCGCACTTGACTCAGTAAAGCTCAAACCCACAGCTTGGGAATTCTCCACGAAACCACCTCCGAAACCCTTCAGGGAGGGGTAATTCTGAAGCCAGCTGGCAATAACACACCTTTGCAGGACATGCAGTATATGGAAAAGACATTCTTCAGGGTACCGACCCCTCATATTTACTTATCATACAACGTTTCACCACATTGAAGTCTTTGACGCATTCCAACTTAATGACATTCCAATTCTTACCCACTCCTCTTATCATTCGGATACAAAGTCCGGAGATAAACCGGCGGCTCAAGATAATCGTTAACAAATAGGGGTATTAACACTATCGATCAGTCCCAATTGATCTGACACATGATCCATATCGTGGTTTGTAAGTTTCTATGAACTTTTTTGGATCGAATTGTGCTTGCGGCATGGCAATGGCCATGATAGTAATGGACGACGGCAATGGCAACATGTGATATCTAGTTAAGAAAATGTTCTCAATAACTACCATCTTTCGAACACTAAAATCGATCTCTTTACTCTAGAGTTAAAAAAGCAAAGAGTCGGAGATGCCTACAGAAATTTTACACTCTTAATTATGTAAGCAATTTCTATATGCAACAGAGGCAACAAAAAAAAAGCTCCCCCCCCTCCCTTCCCCCTTGGTGTCACCGGGGATGCACCCCAAGGATTGTGATACCCGCTCCCGCCGCGATGCTTCCTTTTTTTTTTTGATGGAACCACCCCTTCCAACCTTGAAGGAACAACCCCTTCTTTGACTCGCTACGGGAGTGACGAAAATCTGCAACCCCTGGTTGGGGAGTCCAGAATAGATGTGGTAGGTAGCTCAGGTACCCGTCCATAACATTGGCTCGACACAAGCAAGGATTCGGGTTGCCGATTTTGTGGGAAGGTACTCGAGCACTGCCCAACGATATTCCTTATCATGTTACGATACCCGCCATCCCCCGTAGCAAGGCAATCTTGATTCAAACATCTTCAACCTCCTACCATCAGCCCTCCGAATTACTCGCTTCCCTGTTTTCTCCAGTTACTTGCGGTTCCTTCTTTTCCTTCCTCTGCTTGCTACTCTACTCGCTCCTCCCTTCCGTGCAAACCCCGGTCAGGAAAATAAGCAAGGAAAAAAAGGGGAAAAAGCAAAAAAAAAACACTGGAACCAAAAAAAGAAAAGGAATTGAGGGATTCCGACCAACCAACCGACCAACCAACCATGGTCACTACCGGGATTCCCCACGTTTTCCGACTTTCTTTCTGTCTGGTTGCTATCCCTCATCCTCATCCATAGTTTGTGCCTTCTCTGCCTCCTTTGAAAGTACCTCGAGTTCCTCCCTCAGACTGAAACGGAAGCATGCAAGTGCGGGAGGGAATTTGTTGACTTCACTTGGTGATATTACCTCCTACCCCACCGTATTGTTCCTCGTTCTTTGTAGGCTACGGGAATGACGCAAGCACGCAATTCAATCTTGACCGCATGAGGAGAAGGAGGAGGGGAAGGAGGAAGGGGGTAGTATCAATACGGTAATGCCCGATGCGAACAGCCCCAAAAAAAGATACGGTGGTTGATAGGGGTCTAGACAAGAGGGGCCTCACTAAATGGTTTTATCCTTTTTCTTTTCTTCTTTTACTCATTTAATCGTTTTACTTTTTTCTCCTCTATTTTCTGCACATCACTTTTAACTCTGTTTGAACGGTACAGTTATTCCTCGAAACGAAAAGAGGGGGGAAAAAAACCCTAAGAATTGAGATTTCACTGTCCCCAGAAACATAAAATCGTTTCTCTCTATAATACGTGGCGGACGAGCAAAAAGGAATACAGGCGAAAAACAGTTAAATCTACCCCGGAGGAAACTTTGTTGCAGTCTAAATCGCGATTTTATTTTGAGCCCACCTTCATAATTATGCAGTTGATATGAAAATTCTTCTTGGAACCGAAACCCTCTGGAATACACATACCCGCAAAACAAAAGCTTCAAAGGTACCGTACTGTACTTTACACACACCCTTCCTTCGAAGTGACTTCCCGGACTGGTGCCACCACATTACTGAGGTAAACCTGGGTATCGGGGGATTACCGTGGGGTGCAGGTGGGCTTGGGTAAGGTAACGTGATTTCTCACACTTCTTTTTCTTTCTTTCTGTTGGCTACTACTCATCTTCAAGATATTTTTCTGGGTGAGAAGTTGCGATAGTTATCTCTCTATTTTTATTTTCACCAAAGTCACTTTAAGGGGAAGTGGTGAGCGAAGGTAGTAATATCATAACTGTATTGCTCCGTTGCTCTTTGTCACGGGCTAACTTGTTTCTGATGTTGCAGAGCAACGCTGGTACCATACTGATATTTAATACGAGCTTTTCTGGCAGAGAGTAGGCGCCATGAAACCATCACAGTAGTAGGAAATATCAGTTGAACACTCGAATGACCCTTATATGTTGGGTGTTATTCAATCAAAAGGTATCCACCTTATCATTTCAGTACATACTCTTCTTAATGCTAACCTCAACAACGCTCTTCTGAAGCATATGAAAAAGTAGCCTAGCTTGAAGGAAAGATAAAAGTACCTAATAGTAGGCTTTAATCTACACGTTAAGATGGCATCGAAAGGGTGAGGTGTACCTACCCTTCGATCCCATCTTACGTGTGAGAAAACTGCCCCAACAATGAGCTGAGTCAAAGTTGGAAAGGTACTTCCTTTTCGTTTCTCTGCAAGGATAATGTTCTCACGCTGGGGAGAATTGGAGATGTGTGTTCAGCGTAGTGAAGGGAGTCGCTGTTGCTGATGAGGATTTGTGTTGAGCGTAGGGGTATGGCAAAAGGCGGGATCTACAGACTTTTATATTGAAGGATGGGAAGTTTTGGGGGGGAGGGAAGAAATATTGTTTTGATGTTCAAGTTTTCGGTGATCATTGGGTCATCCAGAATACCGGGACCGGTAGATCTGCGGTGTTGTGTTTCCTCGCCTCTACAGTACCACCACCACCCTCTTCTCTCCCGGATTTTCTTTTTCTTTTTCTTCCATTTTTTCCTTCTGCTCCTTTCCTTTCTCACTAACACGTTTTCCTTTTTTTTTCCCTTTCCAATTTTTTCGTTTTTCTTGTGCTTCTCCTTGATGGGAAGGGGGGTCGTACTAACGTAGAAGGTGGCAAGCGAAGGACGTGTGTTGTCAGGGAAATGCACGCGGGGGAAAAGTGAGAAGTGAGAAATGAAGAAATGAAACGGGAGAGGGTGAGAGGAGGAAACAAGGTGTGAGCAGAAGCAGGGCAGGCTTGTCGTGGGTTTCGATGAAGAATTGGGCGAGCTGAGGCGCTGCGAAAATGACGAGTGACAGCGGTGGTTGGAGGAGGCGAAGGTGAGGGGTCTCAGCGGTGTTGGTGTTTTTTACTTTAGGCCTACGAATTATAGATAAGCTACTACAAGGCAAAAAGATAATAGAGCACTAGGATGGATAATTGGTGGGGGGGGTATTGAGAAATCTGGTTAGAATTGATAGAGGATAGTAAGATGGGAAACTAGCAAGGAGTGGAAGGTAGAGAGCAATAGAAACGAAGCCAGTGACGAAAAGGCCTACTCGATTCCCGTTTCTTCCCTCGTTCTTTTTTTACCCCTCGTATTTATTTGGCTGAAGAGGGATATGATCAATTCATGAAAGTGGATGATAATGTGAGGGTTAATCTGTGTCCTCGTTTTCCCCTCTACCCTGTTTTCTTTTCTCGCACAGGTGATCTGATAGGAGAGAACGGCAGTTTTACTCTTATCCCTTCTTTCCCTTTGGTCTTCTTTCTATTTTAATTTTTTTGCAGACATCCTTTTTCTCCCTCTTGTGTTTTACGGGTACTCGAGTACGAGTACAGTACAAGTACTTTTCTTCACTTGAAGAAGGATAACTCAAATTAAACCAGGAACCTTGCAAGTTGCGGCTGTGACTTCGGTTGGCGGGCTGCGGAAGCCAATCGGCGGATCGGAACGAGTGCGCACTAGTCATGGATGGGTTTGTCGAGACAGCGCATTTTCCAGAACCGCACCCGTTATTCCTCACTGACTTGGGATATTCTAAGCGTGGAGAAATCTGGGTCCTGACATACAGTATCTGGTGTAGCTTTCTTTTCTTTTTTTCTTTCTTTTTCTCTTTCTTGTTCCTGGACGATCATGATGATCCAACGAAGTACCGGTACCTCGCTTTTTGCTACAAGCGGAAGCCTCAAAGTTACCGTTAAGGTACAGAAGTGACATAAGTGTTTGGAGTGCGCGTGAGAGATTCATGGTGAAGACTGGATGTGAGGACGGGGTCAGTCCAGTTTGTTAGTCCGTTCGGGGACAGCCAACGGGGTACTCTCCAGCACGACGGAGGAGGTGGAAGACGGCCAACGAGTCTCCGCCTGCTCCACCTCATACATTTTACTATCACCCCGCCCTCCTCACCGCAGCCACGCAGCATTTGTCAGTACCGTGAATCTGGATGCTCGAGTATCCGGCGGCAGAGCTTTTACCAGTGGCACAAAGAACAGTGAGTGCCGCAGAGTTTTTGGTGGAAAGGAAACTGAGGAGCCGGCCGGAGTAGCAACTCGGATATAGCTTCAATTCTGCTGGCGGGGCAAAGCATGGGATGATTAAGATTGTATTAAAGTACTCGAGTAGTCCATGACCAAGTATCGTTATTTTGGGTCTCCGATGCCCTGGTTGGCCATCCTTTCTTTCTTTCTTTTTTTCATTTGAATTTTTGTTTCTCATTTGTTTCTATTTATTATTTGGCGCATACCGGCACTTGTACTGTACTGTGTGCAGTACCCTCCGACTATCACTCCTTTTCTAAACTCCCCAACGAACGATTCTTCTAACCCCGCCAACCTTCCCTTCTCCCCCTCATTTCTGCGAATACCACTAACGCCATCTGGACCACCACGAGAACTACGATAAACACAACCCTATACCTTCCCTCTTTACACTGCTCCCGACCGATCATATTCTTTCCGCCACGGGTTCGCCAGCCACATGCATGCCTTCCGCTCGCCTATCCCTTCTCGGCCCCTCCAGCTCTCCCGCGTCGTCGATTCGGGGTCTGCCTCTGCCTGTCTTCTTGCTCTATCCTCCCTCCGCTGCTCATTCTCATCCACGGCTGTGTCCCAATCCCGCTCACATCGTCCCACATTGCCTCCCTCTACTCGGTCTGTTAAAAATGCCTCACCAGTGCCAGGAAAGCCCGGGTCATCGCAGGTGAGAAATAAAGACAACGGGAGCATGATCAGTAAAGAGGCTATCAGCTCAAGCAACGGCAATCCTAGAAACGGCACTATCAGAAGCGGCAGAATTGGGAATCGGAAGTCTTCTCTCTTTGATTCCCCATTCCCCGAGGGTGCCTCGAAGCCAATCCGATGTAAGCCAATCGGCAGACTAGACATCTCTGAGGATTCCACGTATCTGCCGGATCCGATGGAAGGGTTGGCACGTCGTAGAAGGGTGGACACTGGGAACTGGGCGAAACCTAGAGCATACAAGCCCCAAGAAAAGATGTCTCGCCATGGAAAATTAGAGTTGGAGAAGAAAAAGCCGCTAGGGAGACTGACCACCGCTCCCTCCACACGTAGGGTCTCCCCCCAACCTCCATAGGATTGCTCAGCCAAATTTTTTTCTCTTCAGACCTCTCACCATTTTTCTTTTTCTTCCCTTTCCTCTCTGGCTACAATTGCGGGTTCCCTTCATCTCCCCGTGCTCGTCCTCACATTTACCACCCCTTGAAATTATCGATATGGTGTTTCCGGGCTGCTTCAGTTGAGCTGTGTATCAACTTTGTTTGAGCATGATGATGATTTTTCCCCCTTTGTTGGGTTGACATTCTGTGGGCATTATTTCAATTCTTACCAATTTACACTAATCTAGCGCAGACAGAACAAGCGTCGGTTGTGTTCTTGAAGGGCGTTGGGACCACGATGCTGGAAAGCGATATCAGACGCCTTCTTCCGTCAGAAGCCAGCCTTCCGGGGTTTGGCAAATTCCTCGGTATTCTTCGCAGTATGAGCTCCTCCTCACCCCTCTCATCCTTAACGGATGATGAATTGTGTTTTTCCTAATTCATAAAAAAACCAGTCACCCCAGATCGTCATCCCGTGACATTGCAGCAGCGGCCAAAATACATGATTGAGTTTTCTGATGCTGCCACTGCCGAAAATTTTGTATATTCACTTAACCTTGACTACCAGTTGGCGAATCCATCCCCTGTGGCTGCGACCGCTCTTCCTCCGGCGTCTGCCCCGAAGTTTTCGCTCCCGGCTCAGGCGGCCGAACAAGTGAAGAATGACTTACGAACACTGCGCGGGGCCCTAACAAACGGAGAGTGCCAGTTGGGCTGCTCGGTATTACTGGTGGCTTCCGGGCTGGGTGGAGATACGAAGGAGAATGGCAAACTCCCAAGAACAGAAGAAGTCAGGCAAATGCTCGAGGAGGCGGATGTCCGGTTCTGTGTCAGGGATCAGGAAGACGGAGGAGTTGGGGTGCAGAGGATATCGCAGCTTCGCATCACTGACCATGGGTTCAAGGTGAGGGTGAGGGCGGGTAGGAATTCCCGAGGAGCAGAATCAAAGTGGATTGTGCGGTGCCGGGACCCGGCAGAGGCACATCGGGTGGTTCGGGACTGGAACGCAAGGGAGCTTCCTAATGGGCTGGGAAAGTTTATGGCAGAGATGATATATTGAGTGAGTTCAGTTGAACGTCGCCGCCTATTTGCCCGGCGGTCACCGTTGGCACCATGGGCAACCGGTTGTAGCATTTGCACTTCCCTCAAAGAGGCCCTGCTCAATATATCAGTTTCGGGGTCTAATGGCCGCTAGGCTATTGGTGAGCGATAGGTAGACGCTTGTATTTCTAGAAAACAGTATGACGAGCATTTGGGTAGGTGTAGCGTGAAATATCATTATATGACAAGGCACGATGATTCGGCAGCAGGAGAAACATTTCGTGAGGGAGATCAGGATTTACTTCCCGACCGAGTGATAAATGTGGATTGAGAGCAAATCGCTGACAATGCAATACCTTGCACAAAACCTGCACACGGCGCACACTTGACTAGATTTGACTGATAGTCTACTTTCCCATCCATGTCACTCCCGGACGCGATACTGCGGGTGGCACAGTGTGCTGGATGATAGAGCGGTGCGAGCACAATGCATTGTGAATCCATAGTGTTGTTATAATGTCATACTGGTACAAGCATGGTACTTGTGCCATCGCACGCACCGGTATGTATGTATGGGTGTGAATTTTTGTATGCATGGTGGAGTCCACCCCCGAATCATGCATGACTCATCCATTACGACTGAAATAGTAACAGAATCTGACCCACTATATTACTCTATTACTCGTACAGGTACAGCACTGTGGGGGTGCTGTAGCATACCTTGCCCTATTTCATTGTGTCGCACAGTGTCGTGGAGGTATCATAGGAACATCGTATAACGCAAAGTATCATACTTTCACTCTACCGGTAAGTTAATGCATTGGCCTGCTCTTGCTCTACCTCTACTCGCCCCCCCCCCTCTCTCCTCTCCCCGCACCATACGAAACAGCTCTCCTCCATGTGCTCCAGTCCTCGGATTACCGTACTGTCCCTTCAAAGCAGAACTCTTCCCAGTCCATTCACCAACCGGCATGATACCACACTCGCTTGTACAACCACACCTAGGGTACTGTGCACCCCTCCATCCTCTGCTGACATGTATTTCGGGTAAGCAGCCCTCTACACTTTCCCCTCCCACTTGTATTTTAAGGCGGTGAGATAAGCAGCCAGGGTGGCCCTGTCTGCGCAAGTGCTGTCGTATTTACCACATTGGGGGTGGGGGATTATTGTCCACTTTCGCTCAGAACGGCTGTTTTATCATCACCTTGGTTTGTTGTCTTTGTCAGCGAGTGAGCTGGTGTGAGGCGGGGCCCTGACTGGGCACCGGGGGAGGGGGTTGCACTGTGAATGTATGTACAGTATGCGGAGTCATGCTATCATTTACGGGGGGGCATGAGACCCCCGGTATGGTTGAATGGATGAAATGTCCATAATATTATTACCGATATGGTCGATCCGCTCTTTTTTCCCCCTTTCTCCGTTCAGGCATCAGACCGTGGTTGGAATAGCCCTATAGATGTCCATGGTCTGTTATCATAGGTGAAGCAGAGCAGGGTAGAGTAGGAAAGATGGGTATGGCAGGACCCTGATTATCTGGGCTATCTGGTGCGTCCCTCCTCCCGCTGTGATGCTTGTACGGTACAGTGGTGTTAACACCGAACGCCCCTTCCCCCTCAGGACTGCTTCCCCCACGATTTATGTCTGCAGTATGATGCGGTATGGCCGAAAGCCTTCCCCTTCTATCGCCTGCTCGAGCACAGTAAACTGACCACGGGTAACCCCTGGGGGTCCAGAGCAGAACGAAAGGGTGCGGGGCTCGGCGATTACTGATCGACAACAACAAACCTTCTGCTCTGGCGCGGGGGGGGGAGGGGTTGTCTTGCTGTCTTGCTGTCCTGCTGTCCTGCTGTCTGTCTGGTTGTCTGTCTGTCTTGTCTGTCTACCCGGTATCTGTCTGTCTTCTCTCATCTGATTGTTTCCGTGTGTGGGTCGATGACAAATCGCTTCCTCTTTCGAGGTGGATTAATCAGCCCTGGCTTTCTTCCATCCAATCAGGGCTCTTGCCCGTCACACCCTCATTTCTTTTCTTTTTTTAATCAATCGATCATTTTTTAAATTCCATTTCTTTTTCTTTTTTCTTTTTTTCTTTTCCTTTTCCTTATGTTATCATTGAATCCCTTCCCGCCGTCTTACTCACAACTTACCACATCCTTTTTTCCTTTTCCCTCTCACCAGAGAACGAACGAACGGGCGAGCGAGCGAACGAACCGAAGTGTGATAAAACATTATTATTATTTTTTATTTTTTCTCCATTTCTTTCTCCAAGCGAAGGCTATTTTCTTTCAACTCGAGAAAGGTATTTATTTATTTTTCCCTAATTTTGGCTTTATATATATCTTTCCATCTTTTTCCCTTTGGATGTATCATGCCCGGAACGGGGGGTTTCCTTTGCTCCCCTCGCGTTCTGGTTTGGTAGTGCTGGTGGTGGTGGTGGTATCATAGTGGTGCTTTCTCCAAGATTGACCCTACCGCTACCCAACCCGACCCGAACCTGACATCCACTTCTCCTACCATGACTGATCTCGACTGAAGCGACTGACTGACTGACTAAATGCTTTGTCTGATGATAGTTAGAACGTCAAAAAACAAAACAAAAAAAAAACGCATTAGTCAAATAATAATCCTGCATCCCCGATCCATAAACTACCCCCCCCACCCCGACAGGACAGGAGAGCACAGGAACAGGCACTTCTCTTACCCAGAGCTTTCGAGAACAACGAAAGGCAAAGTAAGCCATTTTTATAAAATGCAGCAGTCAACGCTCGCTCCGGCTCCTCATCCTCTGCAGTCGCCTAGCGCACAGGTATTTCTTCCCTTTTTGCTTTTCCCATTAGTCCTACTATCCTGCCTTACCTCACCTTACTTTTTTGCCCTTCAAATCTATTGCACACTTACGATACCCACCCTCGCCTCCCCCTCCCTCCATTGTCGTCACCACCACCATCTCGTCCCAACAAACCGAAAGCGCGCAACAGCTAACAGTGGCTCATGCAGGAAGCAGCGAATACCGCAGAGCAGAGTTGGTACCCTCCTCACTTCCTAGCCATTACTACTATTACCGCTACTGCCCCAGAGAGTGCACATCATCCCCCCTCCGGATCCGTGAATTCTTTTTCTTTCTTTTTCTTTTCTTTTCTTTTCTCTTTTCCATCCTTATTCATTGCGCGGAAGCTAATAGTGATTCAAATATCTTCTAATTGTGCTATAGCTCTTCGTGCACATCTGCTCCCGCACATCCACTCTCCCCAACAACAACAGCAGCAGCAGCAGCAGCAGGTCCAGCAGCAGGTCCAACAGCAACAGCAAAACGTCACAAGCCCTGATAACAAACCGACCGACTCGGCAAGTCCTGACCTCAACATCGATCCAGCTATCAGTGGCGTCGGCGCTTCCGGGGGCGTGAGTAGTGTTCCGCAGAGTCCAGGCTTAACGACGATGGCGATTCAGGGCATGTCTCCGGGCTCACAGGCGGCGATGGAACAGCATAGCGGTGCAGAGGAGACGCAGGCGGAGGGATCTTCTGCCGGCAGGGGCCGCGGTGGGAAACGCGAATTGTCAACGAGTAAGCGGGCCGCGCAAAACCGTGCTGCGCAGGTATGTTTTCATCCTTTCTAGGAAGAAGAAGAGGTCCTAATGGGACGGATGACCGCAGAGAGCTTTCCGCCAACGCAAGGAAGGCTACATCAAAAAGCTGGAAGAACAGGTTAGAGACTTCAACCAGATGCAAGAATCCTACAAACAGATACAGGCCGAGAACTATCAACTCCGCGACTACATCATCAACCTGCAATCCCGCTTAATAGAGCACCAAGGCGAAGAAGCTGTCCCACCGCCACCCCTACCACTACTAGGCTCTTCCTCCTCTACCACCAGCGCCATCCCCCTACCGACCACCACCACCACTCCCGCCCTCCCCCCACAGCAGCAACAGCAGCCCCCACACCCACCGCTCACAGACCCCTCCGCGCCAACAGCAAACATGGGTACCGTCGTCGAACTCTCCAGCAATTCAGCAGCTAATCCCCCAGCGAGTAATCCTGTGGGTGCGAAGCGCGCGCACGAGGACGACGCGGCGAATGCATTTCTGCAGGGTGTCGCGGCAGCCGGAAACGGGTTTTTGCAAGCGCAGCAAGTGGCTGCTGCGGCTGTAATCACTGGAACCGGAACTGGGGCTGGAAGTGGTGGTGGTGGTGGTGGTGGTGGTGGGGGCAAGAGGCTGAAGAATGGGGATGAGAGTGGTGTTAATGGCGCCTAGCCTTGGAGACTCTGTGAAGATTTTGGAGAGGAGTTGAGTTGGCAGTGGTGGACGGACTTTTTTTTTTTCCTCTTTCTTCTCGTTTCCTTTTGTTTTGCTCGGTTTTTCTATCTCTTCCCTTTTCTTTTCTGGTCTGTTGGTATGTAATTGCTGATACTGAAGGTGGGACGACTGGTTGGCTGATTAGGATGGGATGGGATGGGACAGGACAGGATGAGGTAGGATGGGATGGACGGAATAGTGTAAGTAGTTTTTCTCTTTCTTTCCTGCTCCTCTTCTTCCTTAGCCATTGACGAAGATGATGTGCGAAAGCACGGAATGGAATGAAATGGATTGGAGTAGAATGGATGCATATGAAGTGATGTCAGTGCAACAAGGAACAGACAACGACGGCGGGCGATAATTGGTACATACAAAGTTCCTTTTTTTTCTTCTTCTCCCTTTCCCTTCGTTTGCTTCTTCATACCTCTATGGTATGGATGAATGTGAACGACGATGGGAGAATGAAGGAAGAGGTATCTCATTTGTTGGCGCAGTTTTTATTATTATTATTATTACGAAATGTATTGATTTTATTATTGTGGACTTGAATCCTCCCCTTTATATTCCTTCCAGCACGGATTCAGTTTTGGGCATTGGGTTGAATGTGATGTGAGAGCGAGTGATAATTTGTGCGTTTGTAGAGTACAATTTTAGGGTGGGGTTATGGACTGTAAGTGAAGGTACAAACAGACGGATGATAGAAGCGTTTCAAAAAGCGTTACCAAGTCGGTGCTCCTATTCCAGTTAGTTCAGCTGGCGACGGCGTGGTAAAGCGAGGTAGAATGAATGAATGAACGGGGAGGGACAAACCAGGATATACTCCCCTCCCGCCTCCTCCCACATCCCCTTCGTAACCCATCCACCTCCCTTCCCCTTTCCCGCCCCATCCCCCTTGGCGAACCTGGCGGCGCCCCTCCACGCATCAAGCACCGCGTTCCCGGCTCTGCGCACCCGCAACTCGCTCCCGGCAGGGATGATCTCCCTCACCTCCCGTCGAACACGTTCATCAAACCCTTTGAAGGCGACAGCCCCGCCGGTCAGAAACACGTCCCTGAGCACGCACTCCCTAACCCGCTCGTCCGATACGCGCTGGAGTAGGATGTCCCCTGCGATCTCGACGACGCCGGCCTGGTCGAGTCCCGCCATTCCGGGCTGGAAGAGGACCTCGGGAACGCGGATGCGCTCGATGTTCAGGTGGATCTGGCAGCCCTGCGCCTGGTCATCTACGTCATGCTCTCGCACGCCGCGGGTGAAAGCGTGGAGGAGTGAGGCGCGCCAGTCGCTCTTGGCCTCGTGCGTGTCATTGCGGTCGAAGTGTGGGTCGTGAAGGAGGAGTTGGTCCTCGATCGTTTTGAGCTCCTTGGCGAGTTCGTTGTCCTCCTCGTCCTCATCTGAGTTTGTGCCTAGGGTTATGTTGCGGTATACGCTCCAGTCGTCGTCGTTTGCACCAAAGTTATCGTCATCCATGGCGCCCCCCCCGCCGCCGCTACCACCGGGTCCACTTGATGTTCCGGGAGCGCCGGCGCCGCGACGGCGCTTTTTGGATGGTGGGGAGTCGGAGGCTAGGTTTGCGATCGACTTCATGCGCATCTGCGACGCGAGGCTCTTGCGGTCTAGGAGTTCGTTGCGAAGTCGTGTGCGGTCTTTTATCTTTGTCAGGACGGCGGCGCGCGCGGCGTGGCGGGTGGATAACCAGGCAGGGAGGTCTGCTTCTCGTTTCGCCGCGTCGGCGCGTTCTAGATCTTCCAGGCGTTGACGCTCGGCTTCCTTCTCGGCCTTGGCGCGGAGCCGGGCTTCGTGGTTGCTTTTCATTAGCTTCTGGTGGCGCTTCACCCTCTTACTGTCGTCCGACAATTCCTCGTCTGGTACGTCGAGCAGTGGGAATGAGGGTGGGGCGCTGTTCGCCGCCTCCTCCTTCGGTCCCACGTCCTGCTTGCGTGCGCGGCGGACGGTCTTGTCGAGTTCCCGGATGGACCTTTCCAGCGCCGCCTCGTCGCGGAAGTCGTTTTGCTCGAGGAGGCGCTTGAAGTCGCGCTTTGAGTCCGTCTCCTGCCGCGCTTGGAGCGTTTTCAGGAAGGCTAATTCTTGCTCCTTTTTGATGAGTTTCTCCAGACGGACCTTGGCCGCTTGTTCCTGGAGCTTGCGACCGCTTTCCTTGCGGCGCTCGGCGATGCGGTCGAGTTCCTCCTGCGATTTCTCCACCTTTATCGTCTCGGTGAAGGGGAACTGGATTATTCTGTCTTTCTCTAGCAGGATTTCAGGTTTCAGGTAGTTTGCTACCTCTTCCTTGTAGTCCGAGCTTACATAGCAGTGGTCCTTCATGAGTGCTTCGGCTTGCCAGCTCTGAATCTTTGCCGGGAAACCGGGGTATTTTAACTGGATGAGCTTGAGCATGTAGTCGGCGGATTGGGAACCTCCCCAGTTTAGTCTTGTGGAGAGGTTCACGAGGCCTTTCCCCTCTACAACGGGGATGAGGTGCGTAGCCGTATGCCCGGCGGAGAGTACAAGGCCAGTTTTCCCGTCATTGTAGTCGTAGGAGAAGAGCGAGTCTATACCAAAGATGACAGACGGCGCGTTGTAACATTCAAAGAGTAATTCGCTCATCACTATTCTCGGTTAACTCCCCCTCCCACTACACGCGAGAATAAAATGTAGAACGTACTCTTCCGATTATACCCCGGCACGCAAACCGCCTCAGTCATAACCAATGGATGTCCTACCCCACCACCCCCCTCCCCGCCGACACCTAGATTGATAAAGCAATAGTCTAGCAATGCCTCCATCTGGTCGAAATTGGAAACAACATTAGAATCGAACGGATTCTTGGCCTGCCCGCGCGAGTTCGGATCAGCGAACACATCGTTCCCAACCACCGTGTATGTCTTCTGCGCTTTACGGTCGCGGTACTTGGACACCATTGGCGGGCAGGCCAGGCGTGGGAGGGGATCGTGGGAGAAGCCGGCGCGGGTTTGCCATGAGCCTGCGATAATGTTAGTATGTGAGCAGCAGGGAAGAGGGAAATGAGAGAGAGGGGGAGGTGTGCCATTGTCGATCACGATGGCGATTTCAGAGTCGTTTTTGTAGGAATCATTCCAGGCTGTTGTATTTGAGGTTGTGTAGGTCGGTGCTTCGCGGATGTCGTAGAGTTTGGGAGGTGGTAGGGGGGTAGATTCTCGAGGGGGAGTTGAGGGGGATGGCATTTTCGCTAATGTTTGTTTTCCTCGAAGGTGTTGATGATAGTGGTAGGATGGTTAATTCATGGAGGTACAAGTACGGTGCGTCGTGTTTTATGGCGATGTTTTTCGGAGGAGGTGGTGGGTGAGCTTATCACACCACCATATGTGGCCAAGTACCGGTAGCCTAACAATGGGTGGTTGTGAGGTTGGAATTGGATTTCAAGCCTCATGATTGCCACTGCAGGGGACGTCGCTGGGTTGTTGCACAGTGGCCACCTTGGGGGTTGGCTGATACCGCGGTTGGAGCCTCTATGCGATTGGGATGAAATCCCCTCATAAATTACCATTAGGATGCCGAGATATCATGGGAGGGTAACCTATTCACAGTATCTGCTCGAGTATGCTGTTTGGGATGTCGGGGTTACTATCTACAGCACCGAGTTTCACGGGACCTTTAAAGAAAGTGCGACAGGCTTGTATTGGCACCATCCATCCGAGATGCCGGTGAGGCCCGATATCTTTAATACGATCCATTTAAGCTATTTCAAGCTTAATCAAGCTCCCCGATCCTTGAGGCTCAAATCATTTCGTTCGTTCACTCATTTCATAATCGTAGTAAGATCACCGCAACCAGAGCACCAATTATTCAACCACTTGATTCAAACCTCCTTCCCTCTATCTCAAAGGCCCCGTCCAATCTAAGTCGGCTCCCTCAAACTCTCCGTGGCTGTATCACACCCTATTAACCCCATGCACAGCCACTAGCTTCTGGGGGGGGAGGAAACACACACCTTCAAGATGGAATAGAACATTCGATTGGTAATTCTTGAACATCTGCGCGACCAGCTCGGTGTTCATATTTTGCACATTGATTTCCTGTTCAGGGCTACCGATCAGCCACGCATTTCTCCCCTTTTTTCCGCGCTAAACAGACTTACATGCAAGGTTTTATTCAGTGTCATCACAGCTTCGTTGAGTTTTTCCTACAGGGCGTTAGAGAATGATCGTTGGGGCGAGGAGAGGCGACACCGGATACACACAACATTCGTGATTATGCGGGAAAGGAGAAGGCCTAGGGGGTATTAGCTTTAGTTTAGTTAAATGAAACACAATAGCACGAAGCGGAAACGGGGGAAGATACCCTGCTGGTGCTCGTGTGGGGATTCCATGGTGCTTTGGTTGCTTGGTTGTCGTGTTGATGCCTGTTGCTACTCGTATGATACATGGGATGGGGTTGATACGATTCTGATAGTGTTGGTCGTGGGTGCTTGGCAGTCATGGTATCTCACTCATGTTTAGCATGGAGTCCATGGCTGAGAATAACCTCAGCGAGGCCAGAACTTACCGAGTTATCATGTCATTACCCAACCACTATCGGCGGACACAGAGTAGAAAAAATAAAATAGAAAGAAATCTACTACGATAGCACACAGGTAGGGTATCAAAAGTCTGCGATTTTTTCGTTCCATTCTCTTAGAGTATTGAGGCTTGGGGTGTTCTTTCCCGCAAGCTACCTGTTAAGACCAGGGTTTTTGTATTGGAAAGATACATTGTGAGAGACCCCACCCAACTTGCACGCTGACAGCTCTATGCGAGCTCTAGTTAAAATCCTAAAATAAGCACTCATTATATGATACTTCAGATATACTAAAAAGAGTTTCTTCTTTTCTTCCCTTTTTCGAAGCCGAGTTTCGAGATATATCGGGAGATATAATGGCTCGGAAACCCGCAGTTTTTGGTGTGCTTTGGGCTCTGCCGCGTTATTAAACAACCTCTACTGCTACACGCCGTGGGAGATGCATCAGGTGCTGGTAGAGAGTACTTTTAAAAGTGGGCAGGTAGTGGGAGAAATTGGTACAGAGAGGAATTATAATATGAAGCTGTAACTGTATGTAGCGGTCATCTAAGTGCGGAGGTGATAGCGGGATAAAGCTTGAGTTAACCTTACTGGATTTAATATATGTGGTGAGGTGTGCGAATTGTGGATGATATGAATAGTTTTCTCTTTTTACCCCCCCCCCCAGATCTAGATTGTGTCTTATCAGCTGTATTGAGGTAAACGAGTGTAATCCATCATCCAATTCTTTCACCTCCGAGAGGTGCGTATATAGTGTTGAAATTTCCAATTATTTAATTGTTTATTTCATTAATAATACTATGTATTTTCATACTTAGTTAATGTTTCACTTTACCTGTATATAGAAAACATTATTACAGCTAGGATATATGTTTTATGCTATTTCATTAATATTTCATGATAACAATTAGAAATTACATATGCTATATTTCTTATATAGGTATTTCGGCATATTTAGGCTTTTATTTTATCTTATTTTTTATATCTAGTTTTCATTAGTATTCTAACAGTTATCGGGTAGTAATTATTGTAAGATAGTTATTTGAAGAAGTTTTGTATACTAACTTGTTTTTGATTAACAGTTTCTCTTCTAGCTAGCTGGACCTGAGAAGGGGAGGAGGTTTTGGGTCTACATTACACATGCTAAATAGGCCCATGTACCTTACTATACTATATTTAAGCCATTAAAACCATAGGAAATTTACCATCCTAACAGATAACACATCCCAGATACATAAAAAAAAACCTCAAGCAAAGGATATCCTATAAACCTAAAACCATTGACCTCAATTTACCAGCACATATACTGTAAACTATATTCTCAACTATCAGCTGTTGTCATGATCATAGCTTATTGAGGAAAAGATTTTCACATGACTTACGATTATGAGTCATAGGTATATTAAGGCTTTCACACATATGACCATTTTGGTCATATGACTTGCTGTAATGATCCCCTCTCAGATAGTTAGTTCTTGGCGACGGGGAATGATACTTATCTTTTCTTTCTCTTTCTTTCTTTGTCTTATGATAGCTCTAGGCCTCTGCCTATGTTACTGATAGTACAAGACCTTTGTCTTCTATCAGAAACACCTATTGTGAGCTTTCTCTAACTCGTCTTCGTGACGAGTACTTCTTGGTGTAAGGATAACGTTGCAATAAGGATAAAGATCGTAAAGGTGTTTTATATTCGTTAAAGTAATAAGTAGGAAAAGTACTTAGAACAAAGTGTGAAGAACCTATCTTCCTCGGCCGCATCGGCCTCCTTATATAGTGTTCTTCCCGCCTTTAATCATGTGACCTAAAGTGGTCACATGTGCGAAACCAACTCATAACACACTAGTCATGTGACCAAAGTAATCACATGCTCAAAGCCCATGACCTTATAGCGAGGTCATGTGCAAAACTCATAAACCAATCATAACGCAATAAATAAGTCATATGACTCGACTGAGTCATATGCGCGAAACCCATGACCTCATAATGAGGTCATGTGCGAAACATAAATCATTTGCGCAAGGCTTACCCGCAAGGTACACTCGCAAGGCATACTCGTCAGGCGCGTGTCCCATGACTCATATTTGAGCCATGTGCGAAAGCATCACAAATCCCACATATAACAAATCATATAACCCGAATGAGTTATATGCGCAAAACAATAACATACCTATGACTCATAACCATGTGTCACGTGAAAACCTTTTCCCTGCCAAGCCACATTCGTGACACTTGCTTATGTTATGATTTGTTACATTTTGCACGTGACTTGATTTTGAGTCATGGGATGCGTGCCTGGTGAGTATGCCATGCAAGTATGCCTTGCGGGTATACATTGGACATATGATTTATGTTTTACACATGACCTTGTTACAAGGTTATGGGTTTTGCACATGTGACCACTTTGGGTCATATGACTAGTTTATTATGATTTGGTTTTGTGTATGTGACCACAGGGGGTTACATAACTTAAGGTAGGAAGAGTACTATATAAGTAGGCTAGTACGACCAAGGAGGATAGGCTCTTCATGGTTTGTTCTAAGTACTTTCCTTGTTCTTCTTTCACCATGTGTTGGAACATAAAGGTTAGGTGACGACTAATCAGAGCCCTTGATTTCTATCTTATGATAGGCTTCAAGTCTTTAACTTTGAGTACCTTTTGGGCCTCATTGTTATCTCTCCCTCTACATTTACTGGAAACTTTGATTTTCTTTTACTTATCTTCACACTTGTTCATTTACATTGCCTCCTCACTGTTGCAATAGCTAAGCAAGCCTCCATCCCCTCTGCCATGTCTGCTTTACTTTGGTCAGTGGTTCTGTCTCATACTGTCGAGAAGAACTTTGTCTTAGAGGCTGTAGTCTCTCGCCTTTGGCATCACGTCTTTGTCCTTTCTCAGCAATTTTGTGGCGCTGAGAAAGAGATATCTACCTTGTTAGCTGCCCTCACGACTGAACGTATTCTGACTCACAGTTATCTCATGATGTTCATGGCTGACATTCCTACTGTTATCCCTCTTCGCCTTTCTCCTCAGTCGCTTCGGTTACTATGGTAGTCTTAGTTGTTTAGGGTGGACTAGACTATAAGAGTTTTCAGGGTTAAGTGGGGGAGCTCCCTCTGGGGAATATTGTGCCACAGGTTATCCTGGCCCCTCCTGTAGCTGCAATTGTGGGTAGTGGTGTGGGTAGACTAGTTCTTAATCAGTTGAGCTCAGTTGAGGTGCTTGGTCTTGGTGTGGGTGAGGTGAATCCCCTTGTAGTAGTGCCAGCCTCTGTAGTATCTCCTCCTTCGTGGAGCAGGTACCTGAGTCCTCTGTAGCTGAGCCCGTGGCTGGTCGGGATAATATCTCCAGTAGTGTCCTCTCTGGAGTAGTGGGTGGTAATGAGGGTGGCGTGTCTACTCCCATTGCTAGACCTGTACCTGGAGGTGGGAAGAGGAGGAAAAACAAGAAGCACTGGGTCAAGCAAGACCAGTCCTCACCTGTGCCACTTGTTCCTGACTCTGAGGAGTTATCACCTTCATCAGTTTGCTATCACAAACTGGTTGCTACAGAGTCCATAGTGGGTCTGCTGCCTATAGAGGGAGCTGGGAAGTTAGAGGAGAACATTGATACCTGGGTGTATTTAGCTAAGTATTAATAGCTTGAGGACGGAGTCGTCCTGGTAACTACAGTTGAGGTGTTTGAACTGCGCTGCCACTGTAGTGATCCCTGGATTCTCTATAACAGTTCGTACCTCCTCAACTAGAGAGCCCTCAAGCTGTAAGTTAGCCGTTCTTCGAGTCTATGCGCTTGAACCTTTTGGGTGTTTCTTTTGTTTTGGGATTGGGAGTAAGTTTCCTGGTGGTTGGCGGGAGTATCTTAGGATCATTGAGTAGGGGCATTCGGGTGGGTTTCTACTATGGAAGGGGTTATAGCAGGGTCACATTCAAATGGTAGTAGTAGATTTTTATATTTTGTATGGGTAACTTGGCTGGTAGATGGCCTTGGCTGAGGAGAATTGTCTTTACCATTGAGAGATTTGTATTTAGTATTTGTGTTAGTGCATGGTGCAGGCATATTTGAGGTACAGGATGGGAGGTTTAGTTAGTTTGTAGTTAGTAGTATCTGGGCTGTGTTAATCTGGGGGCCCAGCGCTAGAGCTCATCATATGCCAGTATTGGCGGTACAAGTTTAAATAAAATTAGATTGAATTCTAAGTACTTTCCTTATCCTTGCCTTCACTCTACCTTGTTGGTGAACTTCTGTACCCACAATGATTCTTTTCACTGGAGAATTATCTGTGTTCACCTAGTATTTTAGCAGTTAGGATTGTCGAGTGGTTGAGGACTTGTCTACTTGTTTGTGTCTTGTTTTATCGCTTGATGGTTATCTCATAATACAGTCACTTTGAGCTATTCATTATGGTAGCTTACGAGCCCTATTCAGTAAAAGGTCTTCAGCTTTCTGTCTGTCACCTACTTGGAGGTTTTGTGTTTGATTGGGTGGATTGCACATAGTGTTTGGGGAGATCACCTGATTGTTCTTTGGGCCAGCTCATGTTTGTTGGGTTTTAACAGAGTCCTTAGTTCTCACAATACAAAACACCCTTGGTATTGGCTGGCAACTTTCCCGAGTTTCAACATGTAATACTAGCCACATCATTCCTCAGGTGGCAGAGTGGTACCCACTCTGCCCCTCCTCATTACAATTTGTTTCTATTGTCAGAAACCTACAATTATGTTTATCACCATTCTCTTTGAGCTTTTGTCCTTGTGGCCTTTTCAGTAGTTCAGTCAGGTATCTCCTCCTCGCTTCAGTAGGGATGGCTTTGACCATGTAAAATCTTACTACCAAGTGTGG